GGGGTTTCTTGTAATTTGATATACAGTATGTACTCACACCCAGCATGTAAAAATATTGTTTAATACACTGCTAAAACTGCTTTGGTGGTCTGGAGTTTCTCCTGATTGATCCATGTTGGTTTTTTGGAGGTTCATGGTAATAAATGTGCTTTTTAATTGAGCCGAGTTAATAATTAATGGATTCTGATTCCCATCTGCCATCTTAACAACTTTAGTCCAGGTTTTGTCACATTCGGTCTATGGCAGTATTAGCTAAGTTACCTAAACACTATATTTTTTCCTTTACAGCTGTAGCTTTTTGTGAAGAAGCTAGCTGAGCTTGCTAAAAAGCTAGCAAAAGATTTTTCCAAATTGTGCAAGCCTCCTCCACATTCTGTGTCTGAAACTTGGAGAGAAAAAAAAACGTGAAGCGGCATTGTGTTTTTAGGCACCAGAGACCTGGAACACATTCTCACTAAACATTTGTCAGGCCCCGTCTATCACAAAAAAAAAAAAAGTATTTTCTCACTTTTAGCTTTGATTATTTGCTTTATGTTACTTTTAAGTTACTGTTATTTTATTGCTATTTTATTATTATTATTATTATTATTATTATTATTATTATTATTATATTTTTACACAAATCTTTATTATATATATTTATAGTTTATTGTCACTGCTTTTATTTGTTACATTTTTATTATTTGCCTATTTCATTATTTAATATTTGACTGTATTTTGTTTTCATCATTTAAAAAAATATCAATTACATTGCAAATATAATTAATATAATAAAGTATAAATAGAATAAAAATCAATCCAAAAATCTCTTTATGTTTCCAGTTAATATTATTATTATTATTATTATTATTATTATTATTATTATTATTAATAATAATAATAATAATAATAATAATAATAATAATAATAATAAAATGGTGGCATGCTAGCTAACAGTAGACCAACAATATATTTTGTTTTTAGAACTATTGTCCAAGTTCGCTAGCAACATTACTATATAGATTACATTGTGTGATTAAGTCGAGGGTCAGGTTTGCTAGTGAGCGTTAGCCTTCACCCTCGCCGACTGGTGGATATTGTGTGATTATAGAGGAAGAGCTCCATGGAAGACACTGGACTACACTTTCATCCAGATGCAGAAAGCTTCTGTTAAATGATGAAAAACTTCACCTGTGAGAAGCAGAACTGGGACAAATCTAGAGCCTAGAAGCATCAACATGAACTTGAAGGTGAACTCACAGGCGAATGAAGAATCTTGGGTGTGGACGTTCTCAGGAAGGGTAGAGAAGATCTCTGTGAATCTACGTAAAAGAAAGGGTGGAGAAAGAGCTTCCCAGTTTAGGAGTGACGAGTTCATGACTACCAGAATACACCCATGAACCACACACACACACACACACACACACACACACACACACACACACACACACACACAAAGAGCATTCCATTCCCAATGAACAATTGAGCAGTATGTGAGCTGAGAGGAAGCAGGACATGGGGGCATGTATCTGCAAGCGTAAAGGCATGACATCAGTGTGTGTGTGTGTGTGTGTGTGTGTGTGTGTGTGTCACCCTTTAAACACTTACATGTTTGAAATATTTAAAGTTCCTTCCAATGATGTAAGGAACAAAACACTCGGGCATACTATAGGAAAATAAAAATAAAATAAAAAAAAACAGGGTGGTGTGATGAAGCGGAGTTACTGTTACCAAAGTTGATTATTTTTCTTATAACAACACATCCTGAAGTGTTTTATTCCTCTTATACAACAGCAATTCACCAACGAATATAATTTTCATTTATTAATGAACGACATTTTGTACTTTTTGTCCGTTTATAGTTACATTTGATGTTGTAGAACGCCCATGAAGCAAGCTGGTTCCTGTTCATACTTACATTACAGCAGTTATAAACGGTCATTCCCTCACCAGCCTCTTATTTCTCTCTCTCTTGTAGTTAATAAGATAAAAAAAAAATGCAGATTGTCATGTTACCGAGAAACCACACAACGTCAACTCCTCTGTCCTGAAGACCTTCCTGGAAACGCACTGACTGTTAAGAAAGTACTGACTGCTACTGAAGAGTCATTCCAAAAATGTTAAATAAATGTCTTGTACATAAATAATCTACGATTATAAATAACGATTTTACATTTTTTTCTTTGTTAAATAACAACTTTTAAGCCTAGATTATGTGGCACATCCGCCGTGTAGGTACCATGTGAATGAGCTGTTGCTATAGAAACAGTAATCTATTAGAATGAGCGCATTAATATCAACCTGTGATTTGTCTTACAGGCGGCACTACTTTCAAAAGTTGACTGATCAGATTTGAGAGTTCAACAATGTGGTCATTTTATATATCCACATATAAATATTTCTGTTATCACGGTACAAAAAACGTTGGCAATAAAGGTTTGCGCACAAAAACGTTTCTTTACAGTGTGTTTAGGCAATAGCTCAGGACAGTTACGTAGCAATTTCCAATCAGAGGTTGTCTTTCATACAGCAAGAGAAAGTAGGCCACTCCGATTACTTGGCGATAGCGATGGGCAAGGCTTCGTCCACTCATCTCAAACCAGAGAGCACAGTGACATCTGGTGGCCTGCAGAAATCATAGCAGCCATTTTAATCAGTCAAGTGCCAGTGTATCTATTGTTATCTTCTGAGAAGATGCTGTTAAAACGTTTCAGTTAATGTGTACTATGTATGTGAATATATTACGGATGTGATTTTCGCTACAGTAAATATGTCGTTTCCGGAGTTGTCATTTGCTGCCGTCACTGCAAACAGTATGAAAGCGTTCTACGTTATAATCCATCCATGAAGCCTTATGTTTGCTCATTACACACACGTTTCATGTTGCACTATTAATGCAGCGTATAGCCATGGTTTTTCTTTGCATGACACGTGTTCCAAGTCAGCAGAGAACAGCTTTGTGTGAGGAAAGACTTCGTTACCTAGACTTCGACTCCCAAAATGCCTAGCTGTCTTAGTGCTCCACTGATGAAGCACAAGGTCACGCTGTGGCAGATGCTTGCTGCTGTTGCTGTGGTTGCTGCATTTTTTTTTTTTTTTTT